GTAATAATTTTTTTTTTAAGCAAGTCTTCCACTCAGCAGTCTTCTGGTAAAAAAGTATTTCACCTTAATATGAACCCTTCTAATTTCAGTTTGACACAACTTATCAAATGTAAGCTTCTGATAAGGTTGATCAGGACTTCTTATCGTACCTGTTGCAAGACGAAAAGATACATAATTTCTGATTGCATCAAATTCAGCCTGTTGATAGAATTATGGCTCTCTTGCCCATTCCACAAACTACTTTTCAGACCATTTATTATGGTCCCTACATAGTTGAAAAGAAATTAAATGATTTAAATTACACCATAAATACTGCTGAGAGGCGAAAACAAAAACAACCTTGCCACATAAACAGGAGTATATTGAGAAAGATAGCCAGTTCAGTATATAATTAACTTAGTTGTACCTGTCCAACTTACTGAGGATTTAAGTGAAGGAATGCAATTGATCTCTGTTGATTTTTTAGTGACATAGCTATCACATTTGCAGTAACAAGACAATATTAAAATTAAACAGTTATTATTTAGATATGAGCACTTATTTCCTTATATTTCTAAGAGAACTAAAAATTGTTGCCATGACGTTGACATTGTGAATTCCAAACCTATGAAACAACACAAAGACAGGTTGAATACTCTATAAGAGGAATCTTGAAAAAAATTAAGCATTTGTTGGAAAATGATTTATTAGAGCCTAGTAAAAGTGACTGAAGTTCACCATGTATACTTGTTTCGAAACCAGATAAAACTTTCCGCATGTGAACGGATTATAGAAGCCGGAACTGTGTAACTAAAACAGATTCCTATTCATTACCAAAGAATCGATTTTCAGCTGCTGGCAATAAAAGATCATTGTCGTTTTTCCAACCGTGGATAGAGTGTGCTTAATATAGATATATGTTTCTTAGATTTAAAACTAGGTGGGACGTTACATAAATCTTTTTTAATAGACGCCATCTTATGGATTATTCTGATTAAGAAATAATTGGGGAAAATAAATGTTTACGTCCTATAATTTCAGGTAATTACAGTTTATGTTTGCTAAACTTAAATAAACTTTCAGGAATTGCCCTTTCAAGGTGACCACTGCAACAATATTACAAATTCACATTTTTTTTTGTAAGTTTGTAAAATGATATCTAAATTTTAAGAGTCTTCAACGTCAGCAATAACTGTAAAGCAGAGAAATAATGCACTGGATTTCAAATCAAGAATAACATTTTATTGCGAGTCTTCACTCAGCATTTTATGAAATTCCAATGAAGAATATATAACTTATAAAAATGTATATACTAAGTTTATCCATGTTAAGCTATCCTGTCAGAAGTTAAAGACAAGACATTCCATACAAAAGTTAAACACAGCGGGTATTACTCATAAATTTCAGACGGGATTATACACACTAAAAAAGTATCGTCCTACAAACATCCAAAGGCATTCCACAGGGTCATGTCCCCCCATTATTTAATATATGTACTGCTGCTGAAGACTTGAATAAATAATACACATAATTAGAGCTATAATTATAGCTATCCAATACTGGATTTTCAAGATCTTTTCCTCAAAACTATTTTAGTTACACACCCTGTTGTTTTTTGGGTGGGGGTAGGGGAGGGGGATTTTTTCTAGAAAGGTGATAGTTTAGGAATCCCTCTTTTAATTAGACAGAGTACCTGTTTGGGTTGTAAAAGAAAATTTTAAAAAATGCTTTAATTGTGATTGAAAGGGGCAAATAATGTCAATGCCAAAACGAAAGCGACCTATATTAACGATACATAATGATTTCAAAAATGAATTAGATTCTGAAAAATGAATTAAGTGTTTAAAAAATGTAAAATGACTAAATATTTCTTATCAGACCTTTTGTAGTTAAGCTGAATTTGTACTAAAGAAAATATTGTATTAAATAGTTGCTACCAAATTAATCTACAGCTAGAGTAGAGCAAAACAAAAATTCACAGAATATCTACACCCAATCCACATAGTAAATAAACCAGTAAAAGTTACTACACTTTTCTATATATGAGCACTGTCAAAAGGAATAAAGAACAAACAACTACTTGCATAAATCCTATTGAGATCCACCCTGATAGCAATTCCATTCAAACTAAGTACTGATAAAGGGTACTTTTTTCAGAATAATGGTGCATATGGAAGTCTAAATGAATCCTTTCATCAAGGCAGTCTGAGATTGACTGGGAAATTTTGTAATGGACGGTGATTGTTTCATAGACATTAAGTGAGTTAGTGTAACTAACAATAAAAGTTAACACAGCAGAAATAAACGCGAGACAAACAAAAGTAGCTATGGTGCAAATATTTTTCAAAGTTATGGTTCAAATTTGTTAATGGTAAAGTTTAAAAGGACCTTAGCTAGTCAGAGCTTGTACTGCAAAAATGTGTCAACTATCGCTGCACTGATAAGTTACCAATTTCTACAATTTACATTATTTTTTATTTAATTGTATTTTTTTGTATTAATCACAACACAAGCCTGTTCAACTACCTTAGAACAAAACATTTGCTTGTTCTATGTGATCGCCAGTTCAATAAAATACTTGGTCAGCAAAATGAATAGTTATCGACAGCGCTCCAGATCCCCCAAAGTTTTCTTTGCTGACCGATTTCTTACATCATCATTTAGCTTTCTTCGCTCTAATTATATCGTTTCTGTACATATACCTTATACTTATTTTGATCTTGTATTTGTGCAATCGACTGTTGTAGTTATGTGCCCTTGAAAACACACACACACACACACACACACACACATATACCGAGAGAGAGAGAGAAAGAGAGAGAGAGAGAGAGAGAGAGAGAGAGAGAGAGAGAGAGAGAGAGAGAGAGAGAGAGAGAGAGAGAGAGAGAGAGAGAGAGAGAGAGAGAGAGAATGTACCATGTATGGTCAATAAAACGTCTAAAATATACTTCTTTATTTCTTATTTCAATGTGTAGTTTTTCAGCAGTCAATATCGAGATACTGAATAAAAAAAAATATTAAGCGAAGTGGAAGTTCTGCAGTTTCCTTAAAAATACTTTCATTTCACTCTAGTGGCATTTCGACAATGATACTGGCCTAAGATGAGAGCTGAACTAAAATAAATTACTCTGTTGCCAAGATAAAAGTTCATAATTTTATTACAGTCTAGTCAATAAAGACACTCAGAATGAACAAAATATTGTTACGATTGGAACACGGTGTCCCCTTGAAGGTCGCTCTAACCCAATGATTTAATAAATTTTTGTATAAATGTGTGACAAGCTGAAAAGATTTTTCTTCCCAGTGGAAAGCAATATCTCAGGGGAAGCCGATCCCTGATCTCGAACATCTGTCCTTTAATGTTCACGTGGCAAAAACAATAAAGCCTAAAATGAACCAAAGGACTGCAATAATTTTCAAGGATCCTACTCTCAAAAGCTATCAAATAGAACAACGGCAAATTGACCTTTCACAAATAATGCGGCTACTGACTTCAAGGCAGACCAAGGCGAAGAAACCTTCGATAATATGTTTATTGAGCATTTTAACATAATTAAAGTCAGACTGATTTGCCACATTCATCATCACATCCTTGAATTTTTAAGTGTTGAGTTTTTAAAATTTATTAATTTAATTTTATTAGATTTTATTTTCAAGTAGCTATGCAATGCGTTTTATAAATATTTATCAGAAATATTATAAACTTCGACCATTCAATCGAAGAACAAAACTATAAATCAACAACGATGGGATATATTGGAAAAATGTAAAATATTGCACTTCACAAAATTGTCTTTTTAGGTGAGACTGTATTGAAGTATTCTAGAATCTACAAATTCATCATACATGAAATCTGTTTTATGGTTTCCTAAAAATGAATTAAAAATATCATATTCAATCACAAACAATGACTTTTATTGAACTAGACAAACAACAGTTTATTTTTTTTTATTGTTTTGAATTAAAATTATAGTCCATTGGTACGGAATGTGTCAGTCTAAATATGTTGATACTAATTTAATTCTTTGAACCGATTTCACCAATAAAACTTGAAAATTTATCTAAAGACGAAGATTCTTCATTTCTATTACTAAAAAGTAATTGATTAAAAGGCGAAATGCTCTCTCTCTCTCTCTCTCTCTCTCTCTCTCTCTCTCTCTCTCTCTCTCTCTCTCTCTCTCTCTCTCTCTCTCTCTCTCTCTCTCATTTACACAAATTTTTGTAGCAACACTAAGATACTAAAGTAGTGGGGTATCCTTAATTGCGTTTTCACGTCTATGTGACTGACCCCCTTGTTGTTACAAAAGACATAAGATTTGATAGAACTTCATTCGTAATAAGCATTGTAATGCTACTTTCATACATTCAGAAGATTTCCAAACCTGAGAAAAACAAAACTCATTTTAACTCTCAAACAACTTTTTTCTCAGGACCAGTAAGCCGATATTCAAGCAGACTGGAATTTCTGTCTGCGAAATTATCCGTATAATAATAATAATGCAGTAATACTGAGAAATTCGAGCTGGATTTAGAAGAAAGGTGAACAGCAAAAGGTAGTTTTTTTTTGTCCTACGGACTAATAAATTTAAGTACAACTACTTCATTGTACGTCTACAACAAATAAAACCAATTTCAAACATCTAGCTTGTTAACAACGTCGCCAGATTTTCGAGTCAATTTATTCCAAACATATATCCTTAGGGCACTGTACCGTCTATCTTGGTATCTACAGGTCATAAAGACACCGTACATTGTCTATCTCGGCGTTTGCAGGGTCATTAGCTGTGACTGGCCTGCCACTAGAATGTGCAGGGCTAAACATAGCAAGCACCGATATATTGAAGCACTTTCATATTATAATCTACAGTGCCTATATTGAATGCATTTCTGTCGGAATCATGTTGGGGGGGGGCAGAGACTGTAAAGCTTTTTTTATTGCTTTTTCATTTTTAAAAGTATGTTTCTAGATAGAAGTGTTGTTTATTGATGTTAAGAAGTTATTTACATTGCGTCAGGACTTTGACTCTCCGGTGGCTTAGTGCTTAGAGCGTCCGTCTCTGATGTGGGAGGTCGCAGGTTTAAACCCAGGCCGAGTCATACCATAGACTTATAAAAATATTGCTAATTAATTCATCGCTACGCGCTTAACATTAAGAGGTTTTTGTTATGAATGTTTGGTCTAGTATCAGGATCATGTGACTGGGTAGAACATCATTCTACATGTCTGCAGAATGAAACCCCAGTGCTACACATCACCATAAACTTCCACACTGCAAGGATCGTAGCGAAATAACTGAAAAATGTTATACTTTATCATTATCTTCATCAGTCCCGTAAAAGAAGAGGTCGTTGGGGCAACACAGCTGACGTTACAACCAATTTTCTCCTTTCCTTCTTCTCTACTGTTCTTTGGGAATCTAAAATCCCATGCCTGTCCACTCCTTAATGTTGTCTTCCCGCCTCTTTTTTGTCTGCCTCTTTTCCTGCACCCTCGCAATATGTCTTGCAAGATTGTTTTTGCCAGTCCAGAAGATATTAAGACAAGACCGTATCACTTTAGTTTGCGCTTTTTTTACAGTGGTCAAGAGGTTTTTAAAGAATCAGATGGCTCGTTAGATGCTGTTGTGGATTTCTTCGTTGGTTATATGGTCAATGAGATGCCCAAGATCTTGCGGTAGCATCTCATTTCGAAGGTTTGAATCCTTCTTTGTAAATCTGATGTGAGCGTCCATGATTCACAAGCATACAGAAAAGATGGACATGACAATCAAGCGCATAATCTTTATTTTGGACCCAAAAGCTCTGTTGGTATATTTTAATATTGGTCTCAACCTTGTTATTGCTGCTGGTCTCTGGGCAATCCTGCAAAGTAGTTCTGGTCTGGAGCCCTCATCTGTGATAATTGCAAATATCGTAGCGTTATAACTGAAAAATTGTTAAAGCTACGTGAAAAATCCAATACGCGCGCACACACACGCACACACACACACACACTCGTCAGGATTTTTATTTGCCAACATACTCTAATTAGTTATACAAACACATACTAACCAGTGATAAATTAAATTAAAAATTAAAATTAAATCATGTCAGCAGCATGATGCCCAAGTGCTAGACATCACTATAAACTGTTACACTGCTGACACCGTAGCGATATGACTGAAAAGTTGTTGAAGCTAAGTTAAAAATATAAATCACTCGCACACACACACACATACACACACACACACAAACACACACACACATAAATAGTTGGTTGATAATCATTTATAAGTCAAAAACATCCCACAGGGACTAACTTAAGCACATCATATACAGCACTTTGCTGTAGTGACAGTTAATTGTAAATATCTCTAGCTTTACCGGTAAGTACGCATTTGTAATAATAGAGTCCATGCTCCCTTGGCCATTTAAAATTTTCAGCAATTGTTTTCAAACTGAGGAAACTTTTTGTCTACTTCTTTGTCTTTAAAACGGAGTACTAACCTGATATTCTTAGTAACATCAAAATTTGAATTTGTATATGAAGTCGCAATGTGCTTTTCACCTGATACCTCTAATTCTCTTAATCTAAATTGATGTTCCCTTTCTTTCTTCTTTCTTTGCATTTTTGCATCTGTGTTTTTGTCTTCTTTCTCCAATTTCATCTGGGTCCCCGATCGGCCGAGTGGTCTAAAGCTCTGACCGTTACATATCACTGCCATCTCACCTCTGTCTGCGTAGACTCGGCTAACGTGGGTAAGTGATAAAGCCTGCCAGTAGCTTCTCGTGGGTCGATGGTTCTTCCCGGGATTTTCCTGGGTTCTTCCTCCACCATTAATACTGGCCGCCATGTATAGCCTATCTTGTGCTGAAAAATGGCGTTAATCCCTATAACAACAACAACAACAACCAATTGCAACTGCATTTGTCTCTCTTCTTTCTGTAGCTGCACTTTTTCTCTCTTTTTCCAATAACATTTGTTTGTCTTCTTTATGTAAGTGCATTTGTTTCTCTTCTTTCTGTAACTGCATCTCTCTCTCTCTCTCTCTCTCTCTCTCTCTCTCTCTCTCTCTCTCTCTCTCTCTCTCTCTCTCTCTCTCTCTCTCTCTCTCTCTCTCTCTCTCTCTCTCTCTCTCTCTCCAATAGCATTGGTTTGTTTTTCTTCATTCTGAAACTGCATTTGCATTTGTTTTTTCCTCTTTATCTTACTGAAGTTCAAGGTTTCATAACTCTAATTCTAATTGTTCCTGGGTAGGATTTCAAAGAAAGATCTCCACTTTTGATGACATTGTAAAAAAACTGTTAATATAACTAAAGATTTCTAAATTAACAATAGTGCTTGGGGTTTTAAAATATCAAAAGCTAGAGATATAAAATTTTAAAAAAGTTTTCTGAAATATTTTAGCCAAATTTCATATATCCCAAGGACAAGCACCCAATTTTATGCTGAGTCTAGGCTCTTAAAATAAAAGAGTGAAGATAACAAGCTTTGTAAAATTTAATAAATATTTTACTTCCCAGAATACGAAGTGAAAAATGTTTAAAAAAAAGAACTGAAGGTTTTACGACTAAAATCCGAAAATAATCCAAGAATCGAAAATAGAAGTTCCAGTAATAAAAGGTCCTGAATGAATATGAGTTCGAATCCCGATGAAATTCAAAATGGAAGTCAATGAAATCTGTTGTAACCTTCAAAGTATCGATGTGACAACTGAAAATATTAATCCAGTTTTTAATTCCGTGTCAATTCCAGTGAAGGCCTTTTTGCAAGAATTTTGTAGGAGCACTTACGTATTTAGGTGGGAAAGAATCACTTGAAATTCATTAATTTGAAGAAAATAAAAATTCAACTCAAACTGGTCAGAACATAAAAACTTAAGGTGTCACTTGTTTAGAGCCCGACTGAAGAGAAAAAAAACTATCCTAAACAATAGTTATACGCTAACTAAGACACAAAAGATATTCTTGGATGAGGGTCAAAAGTTCATTATTCTGAAAAAATAAAAGTCTGTAACACTAAACATGTTTCGTATCATGCATACCAGGTATGGTCTTGACTTAGCTTAATGATTCTTACTCTGAGAAAGAACTTTTTAAAACAATTTATTAAAAAAAAGATTTGTTTGCCAAAACTGTATCTGATTATGAATTAAGTTCAGAGCTTCTATTATTAGGTGTTTATCAGTGAAATAAATAAATAACAGACAAGCATTCATCATGAGCCGCAGATTATTGGATGCATTTACTAAGGATATTTCAGAACAAAATGTCACAAATTCATACCTGAAACAATCCCAGTAAGCAAACTTTGTCTAAGAAAACCGAATAAAGACGATTATAAAATTAGTGCAAATCAGGGGAAATATTCTTCACCCAACCAACCCTTCCCACTGGCCCGTTTACTGTTTACTTCCAGACTTTAAAAATTCTTATATAAGATTTTACATTAATTTTTGTGTCTAAAGTTAGATTAACGTCATGGATGAATACAGTTGCAGATGCACAGAGGGGGCTCAGGGTTGGTGGTGGTGGTGGTTAGACGCTGTCACAAAGAGTAAACCTAACAGATTATTTGCATCACAAAAATGTTATATGATTTGAAAGAGGAAACATTTATAACTATTATTTGTGAATAGTTCTTATGATATTTCATATTTGGTAACTGGGCAAGGTTTAGTATTTAGGACAAGTGTTTTGGACTGTTGTTATCTTCATTATCTAATGCAATTCGAACACGAGGTGAAACTGCCTACTTTCCACGCTTCACATAAAGTGTGTGTTAACTCATTCTTGCTATTTATTCATTGTTCTTTTTTCTTTACCTTGCTCTTGTAATTTCGTCAACGTAATGAATAAACGCGTTTCTCAACACTGTCAACATCGATTTAATAAATTGATTTCCGGTAGCTGGTAGAAGCTTGACGCCTCAAAAGTTCAAAACAGGCGGTATGAGGAGCAAAATTTATTGACTTTCTGCGTTAGAATTTATATTACATTTTCTCGACTACTGAATAATAACCTAGTCCTTGATAGTCGTGATTAAAATGGCAGATTCCATATCACTCAAAACGAAGGCATCTGCTGAAATAATGGCAAATATTTTTCGCAAGTTTTTCTACAAATCGAAGCAGAGGATGTTCAAACCTGGCATAAAATATAAATTAACTTAGTTTTTCCATAATCAGACAATTTTGATAAAAGCAACTTCAAACTTTAAAATTGATGAATATCGTTTGATAATTTCCAATACTGTATGACTAAGTAGAATGCGCTTTAGTAGGTTATTGGTTGGGTAATATGCCACATGGTCAATGTACACATATGCCGCTTTCATATTTCCTTTTCTTTCTTTTTTCGTGTAGCAATATAGGGTAATACATATGATAAACAATATTTTCTTTAACAAAAGTAAAGGTAGAATTAATTAATTAATAGAATTAATAATTAATTAATTGAACAATTAATACTTAAAAATGAATGATTACTAAATTTTGTTACCTCATTGGTAATTTAATACATTTTTAATAACTTGGATGAAATATTGGCCAAAGATACTGTATGTTATATGTTTGGAACTTACATTAAAACACGCATTACTGTAAACAGACCTTCATTAATGAAGGATGGACTCATTTAAAAATGGTTTCTCTACCGGTAAATGTTTCAAGAGGTTTCCCTGTTAAATCTTTCAGGAGATTAATTTGCTGGCAAATCATACAAGAGGTTTCCTTGCTGGTACATTTTATAGGTTTCCCTGCTGGTAAAACTTATATAAGGTTTATCTGCCGGCAAATCACACAAGAAGTTTTTCTGCTGGTAAATCTTGCAGGAGATTTAACATCTTGACAAGTATTGTAATCTCTTTGCCAGAAGCACCACACTGTTGCTTTCGATTTCGTTACATGGATTCTAGAAGCATGTATATTGATCATCTGAAGCGTTAGTTCATATTTACCAGCAAGTGTTCTTTCCATTCAGGAAGATTGTCGTAACTGACGTGCTTAAATCTGAAATTTATTCCTCAGCCATCGACAAAATAATTTGAATGAAAAATATGAATCAATTTTTTCTACTTTCATTTACAAACGTATAGCAAACTTTCGAACAAATTATAT